TTGGATGTGTCAGCTGAAAGGCCCCAATATTACAGCCATGTCCAAATCATGTACAATGCAATTGTGCTTTGATGAACACAGAAGAAGACAAAAAAGATATGGGTGGACATTATCTGGACATGTTATGGGAAGGAGGAAATTTGGCAAGTTACTTGTTGTCCGTATAGATATCCTAGCACATCGCTCCAACCCAATCATGTTCAATACTCTGGTGCAGCTGACATCTCAGTGTCTCCATGGTCACCACACCTAGAGCAGGAGTTGATTGGCACAGCTCATTTCTTTGCCCTGCAACCAGTTTTCTACAATAATCACCTCGAACTGCTGGTTCACCGCCTCTCTGATTCCTTTGCCCAACGTCTGTGGAACACAGCTTATTAAGTATGTCTGCCCTGTCCATGTGTCTTCCTACACTAACTACTGTCAACATGGCTAGGCTGTCGGCTCCTTCATTTCCTTTTCCCTGACATAGCCCAGTGTGCACAGCCAAGATAGTTTCTTGAGCCAGGATTTCTGGATGCTGCCAACATGGCTGGTCTGTCTGCTCCCTAATTTCCTTTCACCCTGGTATATCCCGGTGTGCACAGCCAAGATAATTTTTTGAGCCAGAACTTCTGGATTCTTTCAACAGGCAAGTCATTCAAAAAGTAATAAAGGACCGGTATCACTCCGGAAGTGCAAAGGACATATGATGTTTGACATATTATTATAGGATAAATCAGTAAGTACTAAATAGGTGTTGTGGTCAACATCTGGCCACCTTAACTTCCCAGGACTTAACCTGAACCTGATGCCAATATTAAGCTTGGTCAACGTGAGAGCCAAGGCAATTTTTTTTTTAAACATGACTCAATGCTGGTTTGAACTCCAGAACTTAGTGTTAGAAGGTGAGCATCTACCTCAGATGGCAACAACTTGCAAACTTGATAGAAAAAGGACAAGGCGAACATAAAGAGATAAATACCTGGATGGCTTGGCCAGATGGCATGGGCGGGATAAGAACACAGACTTACCCTATGATTCTGGTGATCATGTTAGCTAGTGGACATAACCACCTTATGGCTTATCAGCATGGCACATGATGATGATGATGAGAATGCTGTCTAGCAAATGTCTCCTCTTCTTCTTCTTCTTTGTTCACCGGCTCTAAGTTTCGGTGGAAATTTCTGGTTGTACGTCTATTTCGACTTTGGCTTTGTGCCAGGGCCTGAGTTTTTTTGTGTACATCCATTTTACTGACTTATTTGCATGCAGTTTGTTGTTCCTTGCCTCTCGGGCTGATATACTCTGACTTTGAAGGAAGCCCCAGGTAGGCGGTTCTTACAACAAGCTTGCTGGGGAGGCAGTGGGTCTTCTCTTGTTTTCCCCCACAATGGGGTCGGGAATCTACACGGTGAATCTAGCAAACATGATCTATATTCACTAAAACAGCACTAAGCATTCAGAAAAATTACCACTGAAGAATCTAGTGATAAGCTTAGATGAAAATCTGTATAAAAAAATACATGAATACAATATCTCTCTTCTTTCTCTCTTTCACTCTTTATCTCAATCATGCAAATAGTCTCTTTCTCTCTCTTAAACAAACACCTTCCTCACCTTTGTATGCAGTCTCTCTCTCTCTTTCTCTCTCTCTTAAACTCACACTTAAACAAACACCTTCCTCACCTTTGTAGGCACACAATCTCTCTCTCTTAAACTCACACTTAAACAAACACCTTCCTCACCTGTGTAGGCACACAATCTCTCTCTCTTAAACTCACACTTAAACAAACACCTTCCTTAGTTTTGTATGCACACAGTCTCTCTCTCTCTCTCTCTCTCTCTCTCTCTCTCTCTCTCTCTCTCTCTCTCTCTCTCTCTCTCTCTCTCTCTCTCTCTCTCTCTCTCTCTTAAACTCACACTCAAACAAACCCCTTCCTCACCTTTGTATATGCCCAGTCTGGACTGAAATCTTTTATCACAGAATTGTTTTCTGGGTCTGCCTCTTCCTGGCCACCGCTGACATCAGCTGCATCACAGGCCAGAGGGTTCCCCAGAATGGATGAAAATGAAGAGGTCATGGAGCAAGGAAACTCAGCCTGGTGCAGGCTAGAGGTAGATGAGGAATGAAGAGATGTGGCCAGGTGAGGATTTTGTTGGTACAACACAGCACTGCTGATAGAGCCGAATGTGGAAGTACTTTCTGAAATGAAACAATTTTATATAATTATTTTAGTAGTTTTTCTTCTTCATCTTCTTTGTTTTTTATTTTCAACTGGGTTAGGTATGACCATTGCTGCTGAAGATGGGGACTGAGCACTTATGGAGTGCCCCGAGTGCAGTGCTGTCGATTCTTAATTGAACATCCAACAGCTATGACCACACATGAATTATAGTTTTTTTTTTTATGTATGCTGCTGTGCTTGAGAAAGTATTCCTGAACAGTCAGCCGATTATCAGTGGTCGAAACTCGAGTTTTGTCCAGCTTCTTGCGACATGTAGCTTCGACAACTTGGTACAACTCGTTCTCCGCTGCTGGTCGCTGCGAGATTTGGGGATCATCGTCACAATTTATGACATATTCATGTAAAACAGGACATAATATTTCTATTTCGATTTATCACGCTTTCACATTCGACTTCTTCCGCTTTACATATATGTAAAGCATTTATTTATATATATATATATATATATATATATATATATATATATATATATATATATATATATATATATATATATATATAGGTTAGTTGCGTATCCTTTACAGGACGCTACAGAACCCCATATATATATATAGTTTAATAAGGTTTTTGCACTGTCATTTCAGGTTTTGTATTTTCTCCATTTTAGCAAAGCACTTGTCTCAGCACGACTTGAACACTATTTTATACATGAAGCAACTTGACTTGGGACTCAGAAGCATTCTTGGTGACCTAAGACTTGGCTTGAGACTTGATGGCAATGACCTGGGACTCAACTTGCACCTGAAAGGTGATGACTTAGTCCAAACTCTTTTGATTCACGAACAATTATCTGGAAGCCATCAGTCGCAGTTCCAACTTCATCACACATGGGTCACCCCATAAATGCTCCGTCTCAGTGACAGTGAAACCATTCAAAATGCCTACTGATGTACTATGTGGACAAAGTTCAAGAAGGAAAGTAGTAACTAGCAAAATCCAACAGCCTACACAAGCATCCAATGCAAAAAAAGCAGCAGCCAGAGATGCCAACACCTAGTCTGTCAAAAGAACTTCTATTCATGGCTGATAAAAGAAGCAGTCATGAAAAACCAGTGTGTGCAACCAGCAACCAGCCACTCACTATTTTCTAACTAAGCAGTTTACAACACACATCTCCTGGAGCAGAGACAATAAGCATTCCCATGAAATTCACAGCTCAGTCTCCTAGCGTGCTAATAGAACCAGATTTTGCCATCACCTTACTTATTATCCTATCGTTTCCTTCTGGGGACTGGCAAAAAGGGGAGGGGGTTGAAATCCCAGCCTTCCATTTGATTACTGGGTAGAACAAGGTCCACCACTTGAAGGTGAGATAGGCTTGAGCAAGAGATGCCAAGTGGCATTAGGATTCTTGTACTGCACATCAGTGATCCATTAGGATTCCATTCTGGAACCTGCAGAGAGGTCGTTTTATAGAAGAATATTCAGAATACCCCAAATAGATAAACAGCATAACAAAGATGTAGACATTGCTTCTTCTCCTCTTCCCATCTTGTTCTGCCTTTCAGCATCAGGTCCTGAAGAGGCTTCAGGTGCGAACCTTAGTATGTGCTAAGTAGATGCTTCTATTTAAGACTCCAGGTATCAAGGCTCTCTGTCATGCACTAAGTGGTGTTAGTCTTGACACATGTCCAAACCATTTGATCCTTAGTCTCTTGAAGCAGTTTAGTAACGGTTCTGTCCCAACTTCTTTCCTGATATTGTCCTTTCTTATGTCTCTTCTAGTTACATTTAGGACTCATTGTAAATATTTTATTTCTGTCGTTCCTACTTTTTTGTTCTTTTGTTGTTGATGTCTACGTTTGTCCAATGATGTCCTTTTTTTCCACTGGATGATATTCTGCTCCCTAGTTTTTTTGCTTGCTTGAGTTGTTGGTTTTCTATGCATATCCTGATTGTTATTCTCTTCTTGTAATGGTCATAACAGTGGTTTTTTTTTTTTTTGGTTTAATATTAATTTTTCCTGTTTTGTGCTTTTGCTGCTATGTTCAGATTAAAGTTCATTATGTGTAAATCCTAACTATTCCTAGAGTTAGGAGAAGAAGTAGATTTCTGATACATCAGTGAGTCATGACAATTCATCCTGGCAACCAGGGTTGGATTCAGACTTGATGAGGCCCTAAGCCATATTAAGCCATGAGGCCCCTACTGTATTAAATTACACCTATTTATCTCAGAAAAAAATAAAACATATATCAGTTAATAAAAGGTGGGAGCTGATGCATCAAGCTAATCTGGTTCATCCGGGTAAAGATTCGACATCACAGCATTAAGGACAAGCCCATATTAACTCCATCTCCCTTCTCAACAGACAGCAAAGAGCTTCCATACTGTGTACCCGCTGTCGTCTGGTTAACTACTCGTCCTGTCCTCCCTCTGAGTCTCAAGTTGTGCCCAGAGCCCACAGCCACTCCTCACTGTATCATTTTCTCCAGGCACAGATTTTCAGTATCTTTCACCTGTTACCCTGTCCCCCAAACTTGAGAGCACCTCTCCCTTGTGCAGTTGCAGTACACCCCCGAATGAGGCCATGAAGCTGCTTATAATTTTTTTTCTGAGCTTTTGTAATACCCTACCCCAGATGACATCACAGGACAGTCCAACATTTTAGAGGGTGGTAAGACTGGGTTTCCCGGCTGTCTGATGCTTTTAACAACCCCAAAACATCTAGAACTGCCCCTAACCCCAACCCACCTACGTCCCACGAAGGAGTGCAGCCTAGGTCCCACCACTGCAGCAGCCTATCTGCCACCCCCTAAAATATTAGACTGTTCCGCGACCTGTGGATTTTAGACTGTGGATTTTCCTAGTTTGGGGTAGGATGTTAAGAAAGCACCTTTTTTCTTCTTCTTCTTTAAAGTTAGAAAATTTCTGGGGAATTTAAAAAAAAAAAAACCACATAATAATAAAACAGCATTTGTGAAGAAGCAAAAGCAATATTTTTTGTGGGTCCCCACCAAATGTGAGGCCTTAAGCGATTGCCTAGTTAGCTTATGCCTAACTCCAGCACTGCTGGCCACTGTAAGATAAAAGACTCCTTTAACCTCACCATTAACACAGGACCCTCTCTGTCCTTGAGCCATCAAGTTCATACCAGCCACGTGGCCATGCTCTGTCTCTTTCTCCACTTCGGTCATTTCAGTGTTGGAAAGAGGCTGTTCGGAGAGTCCACCTGACGGGGTGAACGGAGAACAGCCAAGGTCAGTCACGTCGTCAAGGTCGTTGAGGTCGAGGAGGTCGTCCAGGTTGAGATCGGCACTGGGCAGGGAGGAAAAGCTGCCATCAAGAGTATCACAGGAGTTTGGGTTGGTTATCTGAAACATGACATGATTGATTAACTCTTTGAGTCCCAGGGAATACATCATACGTTCACAGGTTCCTACCTGGAAGCCCAATGAACGCATGATGTGTCGATTTTAGTCTCTATTTACTACCCATTGGGCCTGTGATGCTAAACCCCCTGGGACTCAAAGAGTAACCCTGGCTGCCTTGACTAATTTATCATGATGAAAACATCCAGTCACAATCAATAATTATGACCAATAAACTGTTAGTTTTAGAGAACAAGAAAACAGAATACAGATGTTTAAACAAAGAAGATACAAACAATAGACTGCATAATTTATTGCCTGGCATATTTCGTTGTATCTCGTCAGGTGCATACTACAGTAACAATTGATTAAAATAAAGCAAACAGCTGAAACCTAGAAACTGAAACACAAATTCAAGTACATTCTGAACTGTCTGCCAAGGTAACTGTAAGGTAACGACCATTTCTTTCTGCCTACAGAGTTCTGGTTTCAACTGGCTGATCCCTGAAGCTTCCGCATATCGGAGTAATCTACGGTTGGCTGAATAGTAAATAATTCTAAATGCATCATCCCTGTTAATGAATACAGAAGGACAAAAACATAAATTACCACAGTGCCACGTCTGAGATCTCAAAATATCAACTTGCACATAAAAAGCAGCTGATAAATGAGCTATTCATAACAACTTTGTGCTTTCAGTGCCAGATATGGACAGTCCCAGAAAAACATAAATGCAAAAATTACAACACGTGAGATGACATATATATGAAATGTGGCAGGAAAAAACAAGAAGACACTGTCACCAATGAAGAACTAAGAACAATGGCAAATACTGGCAGATTTCCCAGAACATCAAAGAATCAAATGGTTTGGCCATCTGGTCAGAATGGAACTATTCTGCCAGTAGCTTGAGCATACTACATGAGAACAGCATGATATAAGAAGCTGAACAAGAAACAAGACGGGCAAAGAGAGACATTACAAAAACGTGCTATGATGTTCACACAAGCTATGCAACTAGCTGGATGGGCTGAAACGATGACATGGTCGGATATCATCAAGAGAGCTGTTCAAGGCAACCATGGATCGTGATCTGTGGAGACGCATGAGCGCCTACGCCAGTTGGCAGGGCACATGAGGATGATGACGCAACTAGCAAAAGATAGGAAACTACATCTAACTCGTATCAGTGACACTTGATAGCAAAAGCAGTAGAATAAAGGAAGAAGAAAAAGAATCATTTCTTCAGAAATTAATCATGTAAGTAAAAGTGAAAGGGACCCTTTTTTTTATGCTAGTGCCGCATCGGACATATGATCATCATCATATGATGCCCTTCCAGCATCACATCTCTTGGTCTGCCTCTATCCCTCTTCCCACTGGTCTTTCCAGTTGTGACCATGTTTTCTCAAAGAACAGTGTTTGCCTCCTTCTTATTCTTGTATATAGGGATCTACTTTCATTAGCTTTTTTTAAACAATCGTTGTTAGTAACTTTGGCCGTCCAAGGTATTCATAACATTTGTCTCAGAAACCACATCTATGTTGCTTCAAAATTCTTCCTAATATGTTCACTGACATTCCAAGATACAGCAGAACAGGTTCTATGTAACATATTAGCACCCTCTTTCTGACATTAAATAACAGCGATTTATTGCATAGGATTTTTTTTATTTTCTAAAAGGCTGCCTTTGCTTGACCTATTCTGCTTTTAATCTCTGTCACACATTTTCCACCTGATGATATGACTTCCCAGATATTTGAATTTATTGACTTGGTTAGGTCCTTTTCCTTCAAGTGAAATATCACAATGTGGTGTTATCTTCTTCTGTGATATAACCATTACTTCTGTTTTCTTAATATTTAAGGAAAGTCCTTTCTTAGCACTCACCATACCCACAATATCCAGCAGTTGTAAATGAGTTGCACCTTCAATTATCAAAACTGCATAACGCAGATTGTTTATATTGTATCCTCCAACTCCTATTCCTGCTTTCTCTTTAATTTTCCTCAAAAATACTTCAGTATAGAGAGAGAAAAGGTCTGGGTATAAGACACATCCCTGATAAGACACATCCCTGATGTTGTTGTTGTTGTTGTTGTTATCGATCCAGCGGCGCATGAGCTTTCGCCCTTTGGCCCAATGCCATGTAGTGGAATTTGCATGTTTTCACAAGCTGTTCTTTTCCTCCGTACAAGGTGTTCCACTTGTCTGGCCTCGGAGGGAGTAGCGTTCTTCTTGTCTCACTGAGTTCTGGGCACTCAAAGAGATGGTGTTCAACAGTTTCGTAGGGGTAGTTACATAGCTGGCACTCTGGGGAGTGTTGTGGCTGTATTCTGTTTAGGTGTCCATTGAGTGGAGTATGTTGCGTTCTAAGTCTGAAGATGGTGGCCTGGTCCCTTCTTGTTAGATGGTTTATGCTGTCATTAGGATCAGGGCCAGACATATGTCTATAAACCTCTCTCCCAGTGTCTCCCATGGCCCATCTGTTCAACCAAGTCTCTTTGTTTATAGCTCTTATCAGTGTTTTTGCTGTCTGGAGGGTTGTCGCTGTAGGTGGTTGTTCTTGTGTTGCTCCTTTCTTAGCCAATCTGTCAGCTCTGTCATTACCTGGTGTGCCGGAGTGACCTGGAATCCACTGCATCGCTATTCTGATGTTGTATGAGGTAATAAGCTGATCAGCATCCAGGATTATCTTGGCTATATCAGTTCTGCAGCGTTCACTGCCCTCCAGAGCTTGAAGGGCAGACATTGAATCTGTGAAGATGACAATATTTTGGACATTTGAAGGGTAAACATCCATTACAGTCTTTAGGTGGTATACTGCAGTTTCCAGTGCAATTATTTCAGCTTCATAGTTTGTACAGAATTCCCCGCATGCATCAAAAATCTCTTCAACAGATCCATTGGGATAACCTATGTAGATTCCGTAACCTGCTTTAATGGTAGCTTTAAATGCTGATCCATCAGTATAGACATGTATCCATTCTTGGGGGTAAGAATCAACGGTCTTTAGTGATGAGTTCATAAGAGCGATTGGGTCGGACTGTTTGGTTTCCTCGCCTACCAATTTAGTTCGGACTTCAGTTTTCTACAAGATGTCTATTAGGATGGTTACAATTTTTCCTAACGCATCTTTCATAAATTTCTAAAGTGGCTTTTTCTCTCCGCAACCCGAGGGGTTCCACATTTGTATGGATTTCACATGCAGCAGTTGGTGTAGACTGCATAGCTCCGCAGATTAATCGGAGGGCATTATTTTGTACTCTGTCAAGAGTCTCTAGGTTAGTTTTGGAGCAAGTTGTAAGCAGTGAGTTGTTGTACTCTATCACAGAGCGAACATATCCTAGATATAAGCCCCTCAGAGTTTCCTTGTCTGATCCCCATGATGTACCTGCAAGTCTCTTTAATAACTGTAACCGCCTCAATGCCTTTTTCCTGATGTTTTCAATATGGTTCTTGAGGCTGAGCTGCGGATCAAGTGTGACTCCAAGGTATGTGATGCTCTTCTTTCATCACTTGGTGTTTGTCTAACCTCAGGTTAATATTCTTCCTTGCTACTTGGTGGCTTTTGGTAAAGATTGTGTAGACCGTCTTTGCACAGTTAACCTTGAGTTTCCATCTTTGGCAGTACTCATGCAGTCTTCTAAGGTCTCCATTCAGTCTTTGGGCTCCACTTTCCACATTTTCATGACTCTGCCATATTGCTAGGTCATCAGCGTACAAGGCTTTTTCGGCTTTGATTTGTTCTGGCAGGTCATTGATAAAGATTAGGAATAGTGTACAGCTCAATGATGAGCCTTGTGGCAAGCCCTCCTCCAAGACTTCTTTAGAAGAGATTGCGTTGTGCATCTTAGTCTGGATTGTTCTATCTATCAGGAAGTATTTCACCTAGTTATACAATCTGCCATGTATTCCTATGCTCATCATCTTCATCAGGAGACCTTTTCTCCATACTCTGTCATAGGCCTGCTGGAGGTCGACAAAGACTGCCACTGTGTGTTTCTTATTCTGGAAGCCATCATGTATTCTTTGTGTCAGTCTGAACAGCTGGTCTTCTGTACAGTTGTTGGTTCTGAAGCCTGCCTGTTCATGGCATAGAACACCAGAACTCTCAAGGAACCAATATAAGCGCCTGTTTATCATTCTTTCTGCAACTTTGCCCAAGCATGATGTTAAGGATATTGGGCGGTAGCTTTTGGGGTCATCTGGAGGCTTTTTGGTTTTAAGAATGGGGACGATATATGCATTCCTCCATGCCTTTGGAAGTTTGCTTGACCTCCAAGTTTTATTAATAAGCCTAAGAACTACTTCTCTCCCAGACCGGCCAAGATGTAGCAGCATTTCGTTGTGGATCTTATCTGGGCCTGGAGATTTTCTAGGTTTTAATTTCTTAAGGGCTTGCTCTAATTCATCCATGCTAAATTCATTTTCAAAAAGGGAGTCGCTGGCTGTTGGAGATTGTTCATATTGTATCCTCCAACTCCTATTTCTGCTTTCTCTTTAATTTTCCTCAAAAATACTTCAGTATAGAGAGAGAAAAGGTCTGGGTATAAGACACATCCCTGATAAGACACATCCCTGATAAGACACATCCCTGATAAGACACATCCCTGATAAGACACATCCCTGATAAGACACATCCCTGATAAGACACATCATATGATGCTAGACTTTTTTTTTTTTACTGACCAATAGGCACTTGTGGGGTGATGTGGTCAACATCTTTTACTTCCCAAAAAAATTTCCTGGTACCCATTTCAGGCTAAGTTAACATGAAAGCCAAGATCTATATTAAAACAAAAGCTGACTCAATGTGGATTCGAACTCATGACTAGCCACTATACTATAGCAGCTCTCATTCTGTATCATGATCAATCACTAAGTAACTAGGCAAATTTATATTCAGTAGTTTGCCAACTGCCTTTGAACAGTTTGCTCTCACTACCAAAGTTGAAACTATGCAAGGCAGTCTGCTGCCAAATCACCTGCAGCTGGGATCGAGCCCAGCACCATGGCATTACAAAGCGTGTTTGCAACAACTTAGCCACAAACGCCGACAAATCACGAGTACATAAAGTAATTGAAATCAATCACTCAGAAACAACAAATAATACATCATGGGTTCAAAAATTAATCATGATCAATCATTCAATTACCTATAACAATAAATAATACCATTACTAAGAAACCATCATCAATCAAGTGTGATGACATCATTAGCAGCTGATCAGACACTTAGCATTTTTTGATAATGGTGAAAAACAAAATGTGTATGGGCCCACTGAAAAAAGGGGTTTTGAGCTGAAATGCAATTCAAGAGGGCAATGTGCAGATATAAATTGCAGATATCCCATTAAACATCCTAAAAAGTTATATTTAGAGCACACTAAATGGCAAGACAATCTAATTTTCTTCTTCTTTTCTCTACTCCTAGAATGCCTCACGGCATCAGGGCAGAAAGAGATCTCTGGAACGGGCTCTTCTGTTCGCTTTGTAAAAAGTGCTTTTCATTGACTGATATTTCTGTGGTCCATCTGCATTGTTGACCTTTAGCTCTATTACCCTTATATATGTATATCATTGCTCTCTGTGGTGCCCTGTCTGATACCTATACCAAGGTAAACATTTTTTTTTATATTCTTGGGTACTGTCCATTTCATTCTAGTTAGTTCATGAGATCGCTTCATTTTCTAAGAGCACTAAGTAAGCGACTGTCGGTTTGCTTTACCAGCTAAGACCCTGGGTATTCCAAAGTAAGTAAGGGTTTTATATGCTGCTGCTGACCTCTGTATGCACGATTAGGACACAGAAATTACTAAATCTGTCCAAAGATGGTACAGGTTGCATATGCTACCAATACTATCGTCTTCGTGTATGAGGGAGAGAGTGAAGCACACTGTGCTGCATACGGGGTATGAATGAAGAGGTAGTGTGTTTCCTGAAATAGACAGTTACTAATATGCTCCCTGTGTGGGTTCCAGGGCCCCACTGTAGGGGAAACAAGAAGAGAACCATGCCTCCCCAACAAGCAAATCGTAGAAGTCGACTAAGAGAGGGCATCCTTCAAAGCCAGAGTACAGCTGCCTGAGAGGCAAGGAACCAAGAGTCTGCATACAAATAATCCAGATCTGTGAAAGAGAAATGCAAGTAACACTCACATTCTAGATAAAGGCTTTAGTCTGGAGGAGGAAGATCATCGAGAACTTTCCCCTGCAGTTTACAGCCAGTGAACCCAAAGAAGAAAAATACAAAACAAAATTCTTACCATATCTTTCACCGAGGTGCTGAGACCGGATGGGCCAGCCACCCCTTCAGGCGGTTCTCGTTGATGTGACTGCTGCTGCGGTTGCTGTTGTAAGACAGCATGTATCAGTTGTGGTTGTGACGCTGTGGTTTGTGACGGGAATGAAGAGCTTGGCTCGATGACATTGTTACTTAATGCCCAGGTGATAATCGGGTGGTTATCAGATGTCATGACACAGCCTCCAAATGATGAGCTGCAAACATCTCCATGTTTTGAATTATATGACGCCGCGTGGAGATCTTCTCTCTTTATAGCTGAGTATTTCTCAGAATCACTCAGTTCATTTTTAAAATGAAACAGGACATTTTCAGTTTTGACAGGGAATGTATTCCCATTTCCTATGGATGGAGGAAACATATTAGTAAACTCTGAACCATGCGCACCATGATGTCTAACTGGTTGTCGCTGAACAAATTCTGCTGTGCTAGTAACCGACGACTCATAGGAAAATGGTTGAGAATGAGCAGGGTTGGCATTAATGTCTGGGTGTGTAAATAGTGAAGTCCCAGTGACAACTGGACTTCCGATAAACTGCGGCGAGCTGACATTTTTCTGGGGTTGTTCCCTAAATGGAGACAACACCTGGTTGTGCTGAGATTTGTCTTGTGGTGCTTCGAGATTCACTTCCTGTGGGCTGACAAATAAGCTGTTGGGGGCTGGAGTTTGAGCTTGAGGGTTGGATGAGATTCGGTTGAGGAAAAAACCACCGGGAGTTTGACTGGCGACCAGGACTAGCCCCTGGCCGTTGGAGAGGTTGACAGCTTGGCTTGTATGTGGACCAAACAATCCTGATGACTGTGAAAGTAAAGTAATAAAAACAATTACATTTCTAGTATAATTATGTTCTATAGTAGGGTAATAGTAAAATCTACCATGTTAACCCTCAGTTGACCTGTTCAGGATTTGCTGGATTTGGCAGCTAAATATATTAGGCTGTATAAATATATTTCCATGCTGACTTCTACTAAAATAAAAAGATGTGTGCAAATGGGACATGAATGATATAGTTACTGAGGTGGATTCGTGGAAACAAAATGACATGGACTGCATTGTGAGGAACGGGCACAACAGGAAGGGAAAGAGAATCAAGAAAGAAAAAACCGCAGAAAGAATGAGAGCTGAGCGTTTGAGAAAAAAAAACAGACTAAACACAAATGTTGACAACAATGGTCCTGAAATCCCATGCTATAATTGTGAAAGATATTTCTTAACGCGGCGGGTCTTGCTAGTCACACTCGCCATCACTATGGGCTGTGAGTCTCATGTCTCCTCATAGCACAATATAACACTACCGTAGCAATCCTCTCTTGTGCTCTCTTAGGACATTCATGCAGCATTCCATTCATTTTCTTTTTCAAATCTTATCTCCTGTTACGACGTTGCTCGCATCAGGGCCTGCTGGAAAAGACTCCTGATCTGTTGCCATTTCCTCTACCTCATGCATTTTCATGCATCTGTCTTCAAGAGACAAGTGAAATGGTTGTGCCACTTTAAAAGAGATATTCTTTTTCTTCTTAGCGTTCTCTGACAGCAGACTCTGGTGGGAAGCTCTGGTTGTTCATCCACTTCTAGACTTTAATCTTGTCCCAGAATTTGAATATTGTGTGCAAATCTGTTTTACAGATCTGATTATCTGAATGCTGACTGTTGGTTTCACACCTCACAGGCGGATGCGCTCCAATTTCAGAGAAAACAAAATCAATAACTTAGTCACCTTTCACAACACACCTGACAGGGAGGCAGTGGGCCTATTCCCTTTTACCCAAAAATGGGAGCCCTGATGTAAAGCGAATGCTTGTAACGGACCACCTACTTGCCAAGTGTCTAGCGGTGAATGATTAACGCTTCACTCATAAATGCAAAAGTTGCGAAGTGGACTATCAGATGACTAATTGGGTTCCCTAACGGAGAATGCTTTACTAACACAGTTCACATAGTCACATTGTACAATTAACACCGATATCAATCAACAGTCAACCACATCAACAAAATAGGAAGAGCCATCTCTATAATACTGCATCAGTCTATTTATTGGGACAAAACACAGTATGACGATGAAGATGAATTGGTGATTACCGAAGTACTGTCCGTCTAATACCCCAGATACCAATTGATCTGCCTCCAAGGCGGTATCACCACAAACGGCAACACCTAGCCTCAACTTGATGTGAGTCCACAACATCAACAACTTCGGCCTACAGGCCCCCTCCTGGGGTCACTTGTAGCCTTATGTGCCCCTCACTTTGGGTCACTAATAACCTATACACAATAACGGACTAGAGACTTTGCTCCCAGCAGACCAAGTCTCCCGACACACAGTCGCAATCAGCAAACCTACCCCTAAATTGTCTAGAGTCCGGCACACTAAGTCTCTCGACATACAGTCATGGTCAGAACCCAACTAGGGACGATCCCGCCCTCGCAGTAGGATAATATAAAGTGTTGGGCTCTCACCACCTTGTCTCCATTAAATACACTCTGGAGCATTATTCAACAAATTCTAACGAACAATCTAAGCTTTCACCAGAATAAAATAATACACCTAATTACTACTAAAAATCACACCCATCCGCACTCTCTTACAGACTGAGGGGCACTGACTGATTCAACTACACTGGGACTCTACCCACCAGTGTATGCACATAGATCTCGCATTCTCGCCAACCCTTGGCGCTCTTCACCTGCCAGTCACACCGTGTCTCACAATTAAACTGTGTGGACCTTTTGCACTCGCCTCTGCCATTATCATCATCTAGCACATTCACGACTGGTGTAGGCAATCACGCCTTTGACGCCTGGCACAACTGAACAGCAAAGTGAGTTTAGAACACAACAGGCCCAGAATGCACATATCTGGCTAGTTTGTATGCGGACTGCTAGTTGTTTGCCTCTCAGACAGATACATTTCGACTTCAAATGAATCCCCTACTTAGTTGACTCCTATGACATGCTTGCTGGGGGAGGCAGTGGGTATATTCTTGTTTTTCACCCCCCCCCCCCCCCCCCCCATCCACCACCCCATGGGGCACCAGAACCCATATGGCAGACAAAGAGAACTGATTACCTGTCATTAGAAGAAGCCAATCTACATGTGAGAAGGAAAAAAACTGGAGCAGGTTGTGACAGTGAGAAAACTGGAGAAAAAGAGAAGCAAATGGAGATCAAGAAAGAAGACATAAAACAGCTTGGTATTATACAAGAAAGAAGACTGTGAACAGACCTGATTACCAATACAATCGCTGCAAGGACTGTTTAAAAAAAACCGAATGTACAAACTACTTCTTCTTCTTCTGCGTATTCACCAGCTGTAAACTGCAGTGGAAAGTGTTGGTTGTTCGTCCACTCCTGGACTTCGGCCTTGATCCAGAACTTGGGTTTTGCAGACACATCTGTTCTACTGATCTGGCTTATTTGTGTGTAGACTGTTGGCTCCTTGACTCTCAGGCAGATGCACTTTGGGGGAAACACCCTTGAGTAGTCACAGATTGCAGAACAGAGGTTTCATAGACTGTACAAACAGAACAGGAGAGAGTGTTGGAGATAAACTGCAGACAACCTTCACTATGAAGACAACACCTGACTGACTGACTTACTGCCACAAGCAAACAAACAAAGACAGTACCTGACTTACTGCCACAAACAAACAAATAAAGACAGCACCTGACTGACTTGACTGCCAAAAAACAAACAAAGACAGCACCTGACTGACTGCCAACAAACAGACAAAGACAGAACATGACTGGCTGACTGCCAACAAACATTTAAAGGCAGCGCCTGACAGACTGCCACAAAGCAACAAACAAACAAAGACAGCACCTTACTTACTGACTGCCAACAAGCAAACACAGATGGCACCTGCCTGACTGACTGACTGCCACAAACAAACAAAGACAGTACCAAACTGAATCACTGCCATAAACAAACAAAACAAAGAGAGCAACTGACTGCCAACAAACAAACAAAGACAGCACCTGACTGCCACAAACAAACAACTAAAGACAGTACCAGAATGACTGCCACAAACAAACAAAGACAGCACTTGACTAACTGTTACAAACAAAGACAGCATCTGACTGACTGACTGCCACACACAAACAAACAAAGACAGTACCAGACTGACTGACGGCCAAAAATAAACAAACAAAGCCGGCACCTGACTGACTAACTGCCAACAAACAAAGACACTACCTGATTGACTGACTGCCACAAAGCTGGCACCTGACTGACTAACTGCCAACAAACAAACACACCACCTGACTGACTGCTACAAAGACAGCACCTGAATAACTGACTGCCAACAAACAAAGACAGCACCTGACTGACTGCCACAAAGAGAGCACCTGAATGACTGCCTGCCAACAAAGACAGCACCTGACTGACTGCTACAAAGACAGCACCTGACTGACTGACTACCACAAAGCCATCACCTGACTAACTGACTGCAAACAAAAAAGACAGCACCTGACTGACTGCCAACAAACAAAGACAGCACCTGACTGACTGACTGCCAACAAACAAAGACAGCACCTGACTGACTGACTGCTACAAAGACAGCACCTGACTGACTGCCTGCCAACAAACAGAGACAGCACCTGACTGACTGATGCCAAAAAATCAAAGACAGCACCTGACTGACTGCCAACAAACAAAGACAGCACCTGACTGACTACCAACAAAAAAGACAGCACCTGCCTGAGTGCCACAAAGAGAGCACCTGAATGACTGCCAACAAAGACAGCACCTGACTGACTGCAACAAACGAAGACAGCACCTGACTGACTGCCAACAAAGACAGCACCTGACTGACTGCTACGAAAAAAGACAGCACCTGACTGACTGACTACCACAAAGCCAGCACCTGACTGACTGCAAACAAAAAAGAAAGCACCTGATTGACTGACTGCCACAAAGACAGCACCTGACTGACTGACTGCCAAAAAACAAAGACAGCAACTGACTGACTGACTGCCACAAAGACAGCACCTGTCTGACTGCCTGCCAACAGAGACAGCACCTGACTGACTGACTGCCAAAAAATCAAAGACAGCACCTGACTGACTGCCAACAAACAAAGACAGCACCTGACTGACTGCCAACAAACAAAGACAGCACCTGACTGACTGCCAACAAAGACAGCACCTGGCTGACTGCCAACAAACAAAGACAGCACCTGGCTGACTGCCAACAAAGACAGCACCTGGCACACTGCCAACAAAGACAGCACCTGGCACACTGCCAACAAAGACAGCACCTGGCTGACTGCCAACAAACAAAGACAGCACCTGGCTGACTGCCAACAAACAAAGACAGCACCTGGCTGACTGACTGCCACAAAGACAGCACCTGACTGACTGACTGTAAACAAACAAACAAAAACAAGCAAAGGTACCTGGTCACCCTGCTGTGATACAATGGTTGCTTCCTGCAGGCTGAGAACAATCCCTGGCATATCAGAGGAGCAATTGCCAACTGGCTTCAAGTGCAAGGTCAAAACGGGGACCTGTGGTTGTTGGGGCTGGAATTTGACATACAACATTTATGTTAATGAAAGTGAGGGGAAAAAAAGGTAGTAGCTTATCATTTTTAGGACACTGCAGAGCCAACTCCGGCATTTTCAGACTGCTTGTGATTTCACTAGGCAGTTTTGCATTTAGTAGTTTGCCATTGCTTTCTGAGCGGTCAGCTCTCTGTACCACTGTTAAAACCAACTCAAGACAGTCCGCTGCCCAATCATCCACAGCTGTGACAGAATCTGGCATCTCAGAATTACAAAGTGGGTTCATAACGTCTAAGCCACAGATTCTGGCAATATTAAAGTAAAAGGGTAATTTTTTTTTACATAACATAACATAACCCTTGACCCATAAGGGTTGTGGAGGTGTATTGCTGGAAGCACTAGCATATAAAAGCTGCCATCTTTATCTGTCTACCGCTTGATGAATAAGAGTATGATAACTTAGTTCTGTCAATTTCTTGATGTTGTCATTCCAGAGTCCTCTTTGCCTTCCTCTTCTTCGACTACCCCCCAATGTTACTTGAAGTGCAGTCTTAGCAATCGAATCATGTCTCACTATGTGCCAAAAACAATCTTGCTTGTGATATTTAACCACTGCAAAGAGAGGTTCCTGATGTCCCGCAAATTTGTATATTTTGTCTCTGACAAATTTATTAGTTTTGTGTTAATTCTTTTAATTATGTTTGTAAGCTATTCAATGGAACTAGCTATCTACCTGGCTATGTAAAAAAAACTAACTAGCTAGCTCACTCACTAAGCAAATGGTTTAAAAAACTATCTAGCTAAATAGCTTTGTTACTGGCTAAATAACTAACTAGCTAGCTAAATGGCTATGTAATGGCTAAATAACTAACTAGATAAATGGCTATGTAACTAACTAAATAGCTAAACGGCTATGTAACTAACTAACCAGCTATCTAAATAGCTAGCTAACTGGCTATATAATTATTAACTAGCTAAATTGCTACATAACTCACTAACTGGCTATGTAACTGGGTACATAACTTACTAGCTAACCAGCTAACTAGTTATAAAACTACCTAGCTAACTAGCTATGTAACAATCTTACTAGATAGCTAAGTGGCTAAGTAACTAACTAGTTAGCTAGCTAGTAAACTAGTTATGTGAGTATTTAGCTAGCTAACTCGCTATGTAACTAGCTAGATAACAAAGTAGCTTGCAATATAATTAACTAAACAGCTAGCCAGCTAGATAACTGGCTATGTAGCTAACTAACGAGCTAACTGGACTAGCTATGTAGCTAATTAAGGAGCTAGCTGGACTAGCTACATAGCTAACTAACGAGCTAACTGGACTGGCTATGTAGCTAACTAACGAGCTAACTGGACTGGCCATGTAGCGAACTAACGAGCTAACAGGACTAGTTATGTAGCTAACTAGCGAGCTTAATGGACTTGCTATGTAGCTAACTATCAAGCTAACTGGACTGGCTATGTAGCTAACTAACGAGCTAATTGGCTATGTAGCTAACTAACGAGCTCATTGGACTGGCTATGTAGCTAACTAACGAGCTAATTGGCTATGTAGCTAACTAACGAGCTCATTGGACTGGTTATGTAGCTAACTAACGAGCTCACTGGACTTGCTATGTAGCTAACTTTCAAGCTAACTTGACTGGCTATGTAGCTAACTAACAAGCTAATTGGACTGGCTATGTAGTTAACTAACAAGCTAATCGGACTGGCTATGTAGCTAACTAACAAGTTAACCGGTTATGTAACTTACTAACTGGCTACATCAATTACTAACCAGGTTCTGCTGCTGCTGCAGCTGGGGATCCGTCTGTGTGTGAGTGAAGGAATGATTCTGTTGAGCAACTGCGTGGTAAGGAATAAGCTGAATGCCATCTGGATGAGATTCTTGATTCTGGAGGTAACGCTGGTAAGAGTACAGGGAAGAACGGGTTTAAAAAAACAAACATAATTTTCAACTTTCAACCATAATAGAATTCTTTAAGCCTTGTGACATGTTCACTCACTTATTCTTTACTGGAATTCTGCGCTGGCTGCTGAAGATGAGGATGGAGCATGCATGGGAATGCCCTGAGTGCTGTGATATCAATTCTTGACTCAACTCAACTCAACTTAACTCACTTATTCTTAATTTGGCGGTGTCCATTTTTCTTATCTCCTTAACTGCCAATGTCAAACATCTGTTCTTGTCTCTTTACTACCAGCGTCCAACAACTGTTCTTGTCTCCTTTACTACCAGCCTCCAACAACTGTTTCTGTCACTTTACTACCAGTATCCAACAACTGTTCTTGTCTCTTTACTACCAGCCTCCAACAACTGTTTCTGTCACTTTACTACCAGCGTCCAACAACTGTTCTTGTCTCCTTTACTACCAGCCTCCAACAACTGTTTCTGTCACTTTACTACCAGCGTCCAACAACTGTTCTTGTCTCTTTACTACCAGCCTCCAACAACTGTTTCTGTCACTTTACTACCAGCGTCCAACAACTGTTCTTGTCTCTTTACTACCAGCGTCCAACAACTGTTTCTGTCACTTTAATACCAGTATTCAACAACTGTTCTTGTCTCCTTTACTACCAGCCTCCAACAACTGTTTCTGTCACTTTACTACCAGTATTCAACAACTGTTCTTGTCTCCTTTACTACCAGCCTCCAACAACTGTTTCTGTCTCTTTACTACCAGTATCCAACAACTGTTCTTGTCTCTTTACTACCAGTGTTCAACAACTGTTCTTGTCTCTTTACTACCAGTATCCAACAACTGTTCTTGTCTCCTTTACTAACAGCGTCCAACAACTGTTCTTGTCTCCTTTACTACCAGCGTCCAACAACTTTTTCTGTCACTTTACTACCAGTATCCAACAACTGTTCTTGTCTCCTTTACTACCAGCGTCCAACAACTGTTTCTGTCACTTTACTACCAGTATCCAACAACTGTTCTTGTCTCCTTTACTACCAGCGTCCAACAACTGTTTCTGTCACTTTACTACCAGCCTCCAACAACTGTTCTTGTCTCCTTTACTACCAGCCTCCAACAACTGTTTCTGTCACTTTACTACCAGTATCCAACAACTGTTCTTGTCTCTTTACTACCAGCCTCCAACAACTGTTTCTGTCTCTTTACTACCAGCGTCCAACAACTGTTCTTGTCTCCTTTACTACCAGCCTCCAACAACTGTTCTTGTCTCTTTACTACCAGTATCCAACTACTGTTCTTGTCTCCTTTACTAACAGCGTCCAACAACTGTTCTTGTCTCCTTTACTACCAGCGTCTAACAACTGTTCTTGTCTCTTTACTACCAGTATCCAACAACTGTTCTTGTCTCTTTACTACCATCGTCAAACAACTGTTCTTGTCTCTTTACTACCAGTATCAAACAACTGTTCCTGTCTCTTTTACTAAGAGCGTCCAACAAATATTTTGTCTCCTTTACTACCAGCGTCTAACAACTGTTCTTGTCTCTTTACTACCAGTGTCCAACAACTTTTCTTGTCTCTTTACTACCAGTATCCAACTACTGTTCTTGTCTCCTTTACTAACAGCGTCCAACAACTGTTCTTGTCTCCTTTACTACCAGCGTCTAACAACTGTTCTTGTCTCTTTACTACCAGTATCCAACAACTGTTCTTGTCTCTATACTACCAGCGTCAAACAACTGTTCTTGTCTCTTTACTACCAGTATCAAACAACTGTTCCTGTCTCTTTTACTAAGAGCGTCCAACAACTGTTTTGTCTCCTTTACTACCAGCGTCTAACAACTGTTCTTGTCTCTTTACTACCAGTGTCCAACAACTGTTCTTGTCTCTTTACTACCAGCGTCCAACAACTGTTTTTGTCTCCTTTACCACCAGTATCCAAAAACTGTTCCTGTCTCCTTTACCACCAGTATCCAACAATTGTTTCTGTCTCCTTTACCGCCAGTGTCCAACAACTGTTTCTGTCTCCTTTACCGCCAGTGTCCAATAATTGTTTCTGTCTCCTTTACTACCAGTGTCCAACAACTGTTCCTGTCTCCTTTACTGCCAGTATCCAACAACTGTTCTTGTCTCCTTTACTGCCAGTACCCAACAACTATTCTTGTCTCCTTATGCTGCCAGTGTGAAGAATACTGACAACATAATGTCTGTAGACATCCTGATTGAAATAAGCATATTTTCGCCTCTTCTTCTTCTCACAGTAATCTCATACAGGTTATCTTCTATACCATGATGTCAAGTTGTCCAGCATCTTCTCTCTTGGTCTCTCTCTGCCTCTTTTACTCTCCAACCTTCCCACCGTAATGATGCACTCTAGTCTTCTCTTTATTATGATATGATCAACGAATGCAGACTGTCTCCTTTTAATGTGGGCAATCAGCTCTCTTCATGAGTCAGTTTCTGTTAAGACTGACTCACTGACTTTTTACCCCACTAAGACATCACACCAGCGACACCCGGTGACATAAAGTGCCACCATGCGGATGAGGATCACCCGTGGAGAGGTCCCAGAAACCCCCTTCAGCCGTTAGGCCATATCTATGGCTAAGCTATATCTATGCCCCAGCTATATTCAGGACCCCCTGTAGAAGCCTGAGTGGTGCTTCAAATAACAAAAAATTGGATCCCACATGAAGATGACGGAATAAGGCTTCTTTTAAGACATCTTCATAACTCTTTTTATATGTCTAGGATATTCTCATTATGATCTAAATTCAAAAAAAATTTCACTAATCATCCAGTTGTCCATGATTCACTTCTGTATGTCAGCATCTGTGGGAATGCCCCATGCACACTGATATCAATCACTGATTCATTTATTTATTACAAAAAAAAACAGGTTTAAAAAAAATTTTTTAACACATCAACACGCACGCAGACAAGGACTCTTTTTGCACCAATGGCACCTACGGCCTATGATGCTAGACTCATATTTACATAAATGAATCAGTATTTGATAGGTGATCTCGTTAACATCATGTCAACTGTCTTTACTTTCTGGGACATTTTCTCATGGATATTTAACCCTTTTACACTGTGAACGCTAGAAAACAAAAAAGGTCATGAGCCCAGGCAAATTCCAGAAAAAAATACTTTAAAAAAATAACCATTTTACACGAGTCACTAATACATTTATTTCGTAACTGTATTTATTTATCTTCATTTTCTAATCTGTTCGAAATATATAAATACACATAAAGTTATCAATCAACTTGAACATTGGATGTATTGTGCCATGACCCTGTGACCTCTGTCACTGAGGCTTATGAGAAAACTGGAAGTCAAATTTTTTTTGTTTTCAGCCCCCCCCCCCCCCCCCCCCCCCCAAATGTTATTACTGGTTAAAATTTTCACATATGGGCCTTCAAAACACTGCTAAGGACAGACAAAACCGATAGCATTAAACTATCTTTTCAAGAAGAGGTCTTGAACAGAGTGAAGCATTAAATGTTATACATTTACTGTGGCCTAAAAACAAAAAGTATGCATCAGGTGACTCGTGCCATGACACTGTGACCTCTAATACTGAGGCTTATGAGAAAACTGGAAGTCAAATTTTTTATCTCAAGACCCCACCCTTTGCTCCCATGCTATTATTGGTTAAAATATTCACATATGGGCCTCCAAAACACTGCCAAAGACAGAAAACCGATAGCATTAAACAATCTTTTCAAGAAGGATCACGGCAGATATGCCAAAACATCAGCATTCAGGGAAATGTGTCTCTGGATGACAGGGTTGAGGCTGAACTGATCTGAAATTCAGGATCAATTTTTAAAAGTGTACTCACATTAATTGACATCAATGACGACGGTGATGATGATGATGATACTGAAGAAGACGGTGCTCCCTTCTCACGACCTACAGCTGATGACAAGGAGTTAGCCAGGTATGAGGTCAGAGGTGAGGAGGAGCTGGATGGCATGCTGGTCCCAAAGTGTGAGTACACCTCAGAAGGAAGGGTAACTTGTTGAATGCGGAAATCTGTATTCTGGCCCTCACTAGAATTATCTTCCCTACCAGGCATGTTTGAGTTTGCCAACGCATCATTTCCAACAGCCACAAATCGTAAAGTGGAGTTTGTCATCGCCTGGTTCAAAAAGTTAGTACAGCTGGAGCTGCTGCCCTCTTGTCGACCCAGATTTCCAATTTGATGATACCCTGTTGGATTCACCTGTAAAAGGTTGGCAGTGCTGAAAATCTGGTTATTTGACGATGAGGTGACTAATGAGCTTTGTGAGTTCTGAATGTAAGGATAGGTAAAGGAATGGGAAATTGGAATTTGAGCTGTCGTCTTTTGCTGGCGATGTTGGTGGGCGTTGACATTTTCTCCCGAGAGCATGGATGAATGCATGGCTGTAAAGGTGGCAGGGACCTGAGCATGGCTGTCATGGACTTGATGCAGGGAACTCAAGCGAGTCTCTTGCTGGCCAGCTTGAACCACTCTTGTTACCTGGGGCTGGTGGCAGGATGCCTGGGTTCTGATTGGCCGCTTGAGGGAAGTGAGGGAGGTTGGAGTTGAAGCAGGAGCCAAATATGAGGATGAAGGAACAGTATTATTTGGAGCAGGTGCCAAAGGTCGAGATGTTATACACTTGGTAGTTTCTTGGTTTGGCAACAATAAAGGCAGAAATTCATCAAGCATCTTCTCCACCTAGAAATTATTTAATAAACAATATTTAATATAGTATGCATAAAAATAATATACTATAGTATACGTAGAGGTTAAATATAATGCAGCTAAATAATAAAACCATAATATATAAAGAGAATAATATATAAAGAGAATAATATATAAAGAAAAAAGCCATACACAAAAAACACTATACAGCATAAAAAGTGAATAATATACCACAGTAAATATAAAGAGAATACTATACTAAAGTAAATATGAAATGAATAATATACTATACAACATTTAAAGTGGATAATAAAACTATGGTATTCATAAAGTGAATAATACAGTAGAGGGCATTTAGAGATAATCATTCACTGTATTGTTGTGCTATTATATGCCACACAGGGCTAGAAGTCTTTATACCTCCATTCCATTTTATCCTATGCATCCAGTTTAACATCATGATAGGGATCAAGTTCAACATCATGATGGGGATCCAGTTCAACATCATGATGGGGATCCAGTTCAACATCATGATGGGGATCCAGTTCAACATCATGATGGGGATCCAGTCCAGCATCTGTTGGCTTCTCTCATTAATGTTTGTTTCAGGGTGTCTTTTGGACGTGCTTGCTTCCTCAATCCCGTTATTTTCCATTTCAGTGTCTGTTTGGCAATTCTCTATTCACTTCTCCTCAGGACTAGCCCAATATAGTGCCATCTTCTTTGTCTCACAACTGTTGTTGCCAGTAGGTAAGTTGTATCCCACCAGGACATCACACAAGCGATGAACACCCGGTGATAAAAAGTGCCACCTTGCGAATGAGGTCCCAGAAATCCCATTCAGCGTTAGGCCATATTTATGGCCTGACTATATTAAGAGCTCCCAGCAAAAGCGGAGGGGGCTTTAAAAAAAAAAAAAAAATTTCATCCCACAAGGAGACGAATTACACATTTATAGCAGTGGGTCCAGAATTAAATAAGTGAACAGGCATGACCAAAAATGTTCAACTTCTTTACTTCCTATAACTGCTTAGGTGCCAGGAACGAGAGGTTTGGCTGGCGGGTGTGTTTGAAATAGGGTTCTGCCTTTTCTGCCTCAACCACAGGTTGTTACAGCTGTTTCTCTGATGTTATCTTTCTATCTCGGGTTCTATACCTCTCTGGCTCTATGCCTGCCCACTGATCTCATATACATTTTGTGTGATATGGCAAAACCTTATGCTTGAATGAATCAAATGAAGAAAAATATAACAGTATCCAGATTAGCCTAATACACTAGTTCGTCTGGAACTTTTTCTCCGTCCTCTTCTTCATTCACCCTTGAAAGGGAGGGTCAGCACTCTATGTTGTAGTTTACAGTTAGGGCTGTGATATCACTGCTTTTTTATTTCAGCATGTCTTCAATTAGTCACCTATAATGATATGCTTGTTAAAGGGACAGTGGGTCTATATGTTTGTTTACTTCCCAAAACGGGATCTCAGACCCACAGGGAGAAGGAACCTATAAAAAAACGAAGACCAGTCAAACAATATCAAATGTACACTGGCACACTGGTATCTCTTAATCTCACTAGGAATAGGGAGTTTAGATTTCAAAGACCACCTACCCTAATACTCAAAGGCTTATTGGGCATATGGTGCCACCCCAGTATTAAATAAAGATAGGTGATGTGGTTAATAGCCCACAGAAGCTAGCTTCAGGCCTCAGAAATGAGTAATCTCAGAAAAATGGTCCAACTGACAAAAAAGGACAAAGTTCACAACCAAAGAATACATAATGATCTTAGAACTCAGGCCCCTACAAACTCGAGTGGATCGGTTACAGTTAGGATGGTCTGGACAAGCGTGCAGAATGGGAGAGAGTCGGCCACCCTAGCAGGCATGGGAGGCCAAGGACCAAGGAACAAAGCAACCAGACCTCCAAGACAACCCAGGGTTTGGTGGGAAGACAATGTTCTAGTGTCCCTGAGAAAGGACTGGAATAAAATAAAGCCCCAAAAAAGAACTATTGATGAAGCAGTCTGGCAATCTCTTTGGCAAACATCTACACCCCAGGTTCTCAATAGTACAGCGAGAACTTGAATTCTGCAGTGGCTGATGAAGATAGGAACAGGGCGCCTATGGGACTGTCCTGAGTGCTGCCATGTTGGGTCCTAATTTAACTCAACCTAATGAAATGAAAAACAATATAAGAGCATTAAAGGCAGCAACAGATCTAATCACCTTCTGATCATCTTCAGTGTCATGCTCTGTGCCTTCTGTTGCTCGAGACACTGAGGAGAGAGATGAAGGATGCAACAGTATAACAACAATCAACATGCATTACATTACATCTCTCTCTTTAAGTACCAAACTAAAAATGCATCAAGTGCTACAGGATATACCCATATACAACTAGTCTTCTTCTCTTCCTGTAGCTCCTTCATCGAAGTGTTTAGGGAAGATGTAAAGATCTTTTGTGTGCTCTTTTCAATGAACTCTGCAATGTTAATCTTAATTTCTCAATGGTTGTTTTTTTTTGGCCACTGTTTCATCCTTTGCAAGGTCTTGCCCTTGGTCTGTGTGTATATTTTTTCTCAACTCTTTGAGTCCCAGGGAGTTTAGCATCAGAGGCCCAATGGGTGATAATGCAATTATTTTAATTTCACAAGTGTAACACATTAAAACAGACCATATTTATTCAACTGCTGCGCAACATACACATATTATACATCAAAGTGTTCAGGGACTGTTGAGGAATAGTTTTAGAATACAGCTACAACAAATAATTGAGTTAGTAATTAAATATTAGTAAATAAACAGAAGGTATGTTTACAAAAATTAGTAAAATAAAACATTTCCACTTAACACCATGACAATTTTTAAAAAATGGTTAAATTTTATCCAAAATGAATCACGAATGAATATAAACCACTTAGTAATGTATAAGTAAAATATAAACTCAATCTATACATTAGATTCTGTTCCAGAGAATCTTTTGAAGCATCTTAACAGAGCCCCATTATTTAGTAAAGAAAACTGACTCCCAAAACAATAAGTATCTTCATACAAAACAAAATTTATATAACACGCCTGTAACTGTGTAGCTATGTTCATAAATAATAAGGGGAATAGCACTAGAACTAACCGACACTGAAGAAAATCTTCTTTTCACTAATGTTTATTCTATTTGTGCCAGCTGACTTTGCTATCGTTTTACCCTTCGCATAAGGTACACATTAGACATATCCCTCATCATTGTCTGACTCTATAAATGAATGAAACACGTTAAATTTGCAACGTTATCTATCTAACTTCGGATAAATCTAAAAAAATAAAACATACTTTATTTAAATTTTAGGCTTCTAAGGCCGTAAATCATGTTGGCATCCACGTAGAATACTGCGTGAAAGCCATATTCTTTTCAAACAAACACTTAGTAACTCGGCGAATCTCACAAACATGCTATATTTTCGGCTTTCAACCCACGTTTCTAAATGAGCACGCCTGATATCAGACACAAAGAACTCAAAAGAAAGTTGAAATTGAGCGGTCTGCGTTTGACAACCTGTAAGTGGTCGATTAAAAACCTTCACTTGTTACGCGTCGATTGTAATTGTCGGTTGTAACAAATTAGCGCGGGATGCCTTCCCTGGGACTCAAAGAGTTAAGAATGGCTGTCTGTGGCAGCTGATACCAAGGCATTCTCGTCAGATGGCCAAACCATCTTATATGTTGTTTTTTTATTGAACTATATGACAGGTTTCAGTTCTAGTCTTCTCCTTACTTCTTTATTTTAATGCTATCTCGTCTTGTTACTCTAGCAGCTTGTCTACGATGTCTCATCTCTGTTGTTATGATTTTGTGCCCATAACTTGCAGTAAGTGTCCATGTTTCACACTGGCAGCACAAAATATGTCAAAACTATGCATGAGTCAACATGCTATCACATTTGTATGTAATAAATTTAGTCACAGCATACTAAAGTAGTATGAAGCATTGCGTATTGATCGATATGGAAAAAAAAAAAAGCTATAATTTTGCTGCTGTCATTATTAAGAATCACCTCTTAATAACCAAAACTAAAAAAGAATATCCCAGCCCTGTGTGATACCCATCTTATCACCTTTGAAGCGCTTGTAATTCACTTCCTCTTTTACTGCTCCGAGTGTGGAAACAGATACAAGCTGCTGGTTCTGGCTTTTGTAGCCACCTCGACCATAACGAAAACAGGGTCACCAATTAATTGCTCTGTTCGTGCGCCCATGAAAACTGCACAGAATGCAAACCACTATACTTGTGAACCACAACAATGCACATAGGTAAAACGCACAATGCAGCTGCCATAAGTACCAACACAAACAGACCGACACTAGAATTGCAGTTTATCATCGATGGAACCAGAAAATCAGCAGCTGCACTTGCAAATTGCCATTATTTGTGTGGCAACATCCACCAGGCATTTTACACATAGGCCTCAGCTGCACTTACACACAGGCGTCAGCCACGTTTACACATAGGCCTCAGCCGCATTTACACATAGGCCTCAGTTGTACTTACACATAGGCCTCAGCTGCATTTACACATAGGCCTCAGCTGTACTTACACATAGGCCTCAGCTGTACTTACACATTGGCCTCAGCCACATTTACACATAGGCCTCAGCTGTGCTTACACATATGCCTCAGCCCCATTTACACATAGGCCTCAGCCGCATTTACACATAGGCCTCAGCTGCATTTACACATAGGCCTCAGCTGTACTTACACATAGGCCTCAGTCGCATTTACACATAGGCCTCAGTTGTACTTACACATAGGCCTCAGTTGTACTTACACATAGGCCTCAGCTGTACTTGCACATAGGCCTCAGCCGCATTTACATAGGCCTCAGCCGCAAATACACATAGGCCTCAGCCGCATTTACATATTGGCCTCAGCCGCATTTACACATGGGCCTTAACCGCATTTACACATAGGCCTCAGCTGTACTTACACATAGGCCTTAACCGCATTTACACATAGTCCTCAGCTGTACTTACACATAGGCCTTAGCGGCATTTTCACATAGGCCTCAGCTGTACTTACACATAGGCCTCAGCGGCATTTACACATAGGCCTCAGCTGTACTTACACATAGGCCTCAGCTGTACTTACACATAAGCCTCAGCCGTATACTTACACATAGGCCTCAGCTGGTCAACCAACTCCTCCTTGGTCCAGCTCTTCTGACTCAGCTCATAGGAGAGTAAAGGAATGGAAGGTTTGGCAGCTTCAGGGTATGGCACGTTCAAGTAGTGTATGAGAACAATATTTGGATTCTGTCAGGAATTGAAAAAAAAAATGCAGTCTAAGAACCGATAAATAAATGGTACCACAATAATACAACTGTTATTGCATTCACCCGTTTGTTGGCACCTTTTCCGTCTTTCCAAATTATAGTGTTACACTCTACTACAGAGAGGCATGGGGAGTCGCCGTGGTATAGCGGCTAGACCCTCGCCTGCAGATCAGAAGGTCGTGTGTCTGGGTTCTGACGAAGCTGAATGTTTTTTCCAAAAATGACCTTGGCTGCCAGGTCGACCAGCCTTGAGTGGCTATCAGGTATAGCCGTGGAAAGCAAAGGCGGCCGGCATGATACTGACCACCTCACCCACTGAGTGCCAATAAGTCTATAAAATATAGGCCCAGCCCTATATGCCCAATACACCTAAAGGCATGGAAAAGGGCCCTGTAATTTTATAGGGAGGCATAGAAATTATACAGCCTATGGCAATGGCAATAGTGTGACTAGCAAGACCTGCTCATGTTAAGAATTCCACTTTAAGGCATGGGATTTCAGTACCACCGCTACTGCCATTGTCATATAGCGGACAAGTTCCTTCTGAAATGCTCAACGCTTTACCTTAATGCAATCTTCTTCTCCTGTGCATCAAATTCCTTCCTTTTGATTTTTCTTCCCCTTGCAATGTGCCCCATGACATCCTGTTCCCATTAATCCACACCTTCTTCTTCTTCACATACTGGCTGTAAACTCTGGTGGAAAGCTCTGGTTGTTTGTCCACTTCTGGATTTTAGTTTTGCTCCAGAACCTGAGTTTTGCGTGCACATCCATTTCACAGACCTGACATATTTGTAAGGCGGCGTCTGTGGCTTAGGCGTTGCGAGTCCGACTCATAATTCCAATGTACCGCGATCGAAAGACACTACAGGCTGCGTGGATTTTTATCATAGTATGGGGCGTCGCAGGTCGACCCAGCCTAAAATGGTTACCAGGATGTATGTCCTGAGGAAGTAAAGACGGCCGGCGTAATGCTGACAACATTACCCACCTAGTGCTGAATGGTCTGTAAAAATATGGGTGCTCTTCCCATGGGTGCTTACCTCAGTAACTATTTATGAATATACATCTGGTGCCACAGTGGCATAGTGGTTAGTGTGCTCACCTGCCAAGACAGTGGTTCAGGCTCAATCCCCAGAAGAGGCAGGATTTTTCCAACAAATACAACTCAAAGTCGAACCAGCCTTATTGGTACCAGATTTCCTGTGTGGGTTCTGAGAACCCATTGGGGGAGGGGGGGGGGGGGGGGGGGGGGGGGCCAACTCACTGCCCCCTAAGCACACAGTTATCTGCCTCTGCAGTGCAGCTGTTCATCTGTACACAGCTCTGCACAAAGCACAAAACTCTGGCTTCAGTTACAAACCCCAGGGATCTCCAAGCAACATGGCCTGAAACTAAATACATGACCTACAGAGCATGAGGTGAATGGCTTAACCACTTTACAACAGACACAAATAATTAAAACAAAAAAGTGTAAAAAAAGCTTTAACTGCTTACCTGTAACAGCCAATAACATCTGCGGTGAAATGTTGGCAGTATCGCTGAGTGGACATACGACCCGTAGATACACTTAGAAGGGAACAGAATTATAGCAGTGAAATTACAAAAATTCATCACCCACATCAAAAACATACAGACCATTAGAATACAGAAGAAAAAACCTAATGTAAGCATCAGAACAATAAAATACATACAGACATTTATTGGACTCAAATGTATCAATTTAGACCAAATCTCTCCCTCAAAGTCAGAGTACATCTGCCGGTGAGGCAGGGAATGGCCAACTAATGAGCCAGTAAAACGGGTGTACACGCAAAACTCAGGTCCAGGTAAAAGCAAAAAGTCCAAATGGACGAACCACCAGGACCTTCCACTAGAATTCATAGCCGGTGAATGAAGAAGAAGACCAAATTTATCTACTAGAACAAAATATATTAGGACAAAATTTAAAACTATGTAACATGCAGAAATCAACAAACATGCATAGATTAAAGAAAACAAAAACTATAAGAACTAAACACCTATTTGAACCACATTCATCTTTTAGAACAAAATTGATCTATTAGATTAAATCTTACAACCAAAAAACATAAAAAATTCAGCAAACATGTGGGGATCAAGACTGCATATAAATTACATAATTTTAATGTAAGGTCAATAACATGCACACAGAAATCTATTATAGCACAACTTATACATTATATCTATCAGAACAAACCAACCAACCAACCAACCAACCAACCACCCCCACCCACCCATGCACGTACGCACACACGCACACAGACACACAATTTATACAAACAAATACACCGGAAACTCCAAAACATATTCAGCCAATCAGAAAAACAGAAAAATCACCTAATACTGTAAACCATTCCATGTACATCTCTTAACATAGTCAATCAATTTAAAAAAAAAAAATTAGAAAGCATCTAACACAGCCAAACAATCACATATATGGAAATCATTTAACATACTATCAACCAATCAGATATATAAAAATTATCTAATACATAGACAACCAATCAGATACATAGAAATCAACTAGCACAAACATTTAACCATTAGATATGTATAAATAATCTAATAAATATATTCAACAAAACAGATGCATATAAATCACCTTTACGTACACCAGAGCCTAGTTGCCAACCCAAACCAACACAACGGGATCACACACTAATAAATGATGAATAGACCCGCTTTGAGGCTCAATACAACATTTCACACACATATCCACGACATGACTAACCCGTTCTTATTGCAGGAAGACAACTATAAGACCACTATGGTCACACGCGAAATACTTTCACATTTGGGAACTATCCAAAATCAAAAACTGTTTTCAGAACTTTTTGGCAAAATAAAATACTCAAAATTTTTAAACTGTAAATTGTGGTCCAAAGGACGTTGTGTTGAAAAGCTCGCTCTCCTACAAAATACGCCTGGCCAAATCAGAAGGAGACAAAACCAAGAGGAAACACCAAGTAAGAAGAGGAAAGACATGCACAGCTAACAACAGGGTGGAGGACGAGCAGTCTGAATCGGAAGGAAGCATCAAGCCCAGAAACGGTGCAAATACTAGAATTTAGTCACGAAAGTGACACAAATAACCCAGACCACAAATATAGGCGGAGACTGTTAGCAGCCTCGGCTAGCTAGCAGCAGTCTGAAAGTGGTTGAACTTTTAATTTTTTTTCTCAAAAGGAATCGGAATCAGAATTTAAATCACCTAACACAGTAAACCAGGGCTATTCAACTAGTGGCTGCCGAGCAAAATCTGGCCCATGAAGGCCTAGCAAGGGGTCCTCGGATCACTGCAACTTGTATTGTATGAATGATCTATGCTGGCGTGCAGGCATCCTGCAACGATCCCAATTTTCAAAACTTTATCCCCTGAGTAAATTTTGTTGAACAGCCCTGCAGTAAACTAATCAGGTGTACATAAATCTCCTAACATAGAACTAATCAAATAAACATAAATCTTTCAACAGTCATCCAATCACATATATGAATCGCATTACAACATTATTCAACATTTGCTGACCTCAAGCCCCTGAACTTTGAGTTTCATATGATCTTCCCGGATTGTGCTGCCATTTCTGCGTTTCTTCCAACAGTAGCCATCTCTGCGATAGAACACCACTTTTCTGTTGTACAGTAGCATGGACCCACTGGCTGGCCTGTAGTACATCAAACCAGCAATTTTATTTATATATACATATATAAATATGATTGATGATGACTGATGATTGGCACATTTTCGACTTTGAAGACGATAGTGTTACATTGAGTTATGAGGAGATATAGGACTAGCAGCAATGGTAAGTGTGACTAGCAAGACCCGCCCACGTTAAGAAAAGTCTTCCACAATTATAGTATGGGATTTCAGGACCACTGTAGTGAACATTTGTGTTTAGCCTGTTTCTTCTCAGATGCTCAGCTCTCATTCGTTCTGCAATCATTTCTTCCTTTTTTCTCATTCCCTTCCAGATATATATATATACAAAGTGATTTCAACGCGAAAACAGGAAGTGAAAAAGTGTACGGAATAACAGGTGGTTATGGCCTAGGAGAAAAGAATGTAAGAGGTGACAGATTAATAGCATGGGCTGAGTCACACAGCATGATAATAGGTAACACCTGATTTAAACACCATCCTGGAAGATTGTGGACTTGGAAAAGTCCTGGTGATAATGTCCGCAATCAGATTGATTTTATTTTGATTTCAAGAAGATTCAGGAGCAGCTTAGTTGGAGCAAAAACTAGACCTGGAGAAGACTGCTTTAGTGACCATGTTCCAGTTGTAGGAAAAATTAGAATAAAACTAAAGAACATTAGAAAAACACCACAGAACATAAAGTTAAATTTAGGAAATCTTAGAACGGATAAAGAAATTAAGGACCAGTACAATGTCACTGTACAAAACCGGCATAATGCAATGGAAATTATTCAGACTATTGATGAACAGTGGGATATGTTGCGTGAGTCAATTCAGCAGACATCTAAAGAGACAATCCAACCAACCCAGAGAGTTGCAAAAAATAAATGGATGTCAACCGAAATTCTGCAGTTGATGGATGAAAGAAGGAAGAAAAAGAATGATCAAGAAGAATACTCTAGAATACAAAAGGAAATAGTGAACAAATGCAAAGTGGCTAAAGAAGCCTGGCTGAATCAAATGTGTATAGAGATTGGGGAAAACAAGAGGAAAGACTCACATTCCATGTACCAAAAGATAAATATGTTAACAGGAAAGATGACACGTAACAACAGGATGTTTGAAATCAAAAGATGGTGACTTATTATTGGGACATAGTAATATAATTAACAATGGACATAGTATATAGGGGAATTGTATGATGATAATAGACCAGATGTAGAACTGCAGACCAACAATGATGGTCCACCAATAATGACTGCAGAAGTTGAGGATGCAATAAATCATATGAAGAAAGGAAAAGCACCCGGGCCAGACAACATCTCACTGGAAGAAATAGAAGCACTGGGAGATTTTGGAATTGAAATAATAACTAAACTTTTAAACGATATTTATAATAGTGGGTATATTCCAAATGACCTTTTAAAATCCATATTTATAGCTCTGCCTAAGAAACCAGGAACTATCAAATGTGAAGACCATCGCACAATAAGTCTTGTGAGTCACATGACTAAGATTTTACTGAGAATAATTATGAGAAGAATAAGAAACAAAATTAAGCCAGAAATCAGCGATGAACAATGTGGATTTGTAGAAGGAAAAGGTACAAACAATGCCATATACATCCTAAAGACATTGTCAGAAAAAGCTATAAGAGTAAAGACTGATTTGTACAGATGCTTCATAGACTATACAAAAGCATTTGACTGTGTGAAGCATGAAGAAGTAATCAAACTGTTAGAAAAATTAAACATTGATGGGAAAGATCTACGAATAATTAGAATATGTATTGGCAGCAAACAGCAGCTATAAAAATTAACAACTGTTTAGGTACATTTCAAAGCATAAAGAGGGGCGTACGACAAGGATGTGTACTGTCACCTGATTTGTTTTCAATATACAGTGAATATATAATGAGAGCTTTAATTGGTATGCCCGGAATTTTGGTTGGTGAGCACAATATAAACAATTTACGTTATGCTGATGACACAGTCTTGATAGCAACCATTTAGAAAGAACTACAGGAAATGATAGACATTGTGGTGTTAGAAAGTGGAAGAATGGGCCTCAGTTTGAATAATGGGAAGACAGAAGTAATGGTGGTATCAAAGGAACGAATTATTCCTAAGTGTGTAATAAAAGTTGATGGTGTTATTTTAGGACAAGTACAGAAATTTAAGTATCTGGGCACATGGATAACATCAGATGGAAGATGCATAACTGAGATAAGAAACAGAATAGGACAGGCAAAAACTGCATTTTATAAAATGAAAAACATCTTGTGCAATATATCCTTGTCATTGAGAGTTAGAAAAAGAATTCTTGTTTGCTACATACATCCAGTTGTAACATATGGCTGTGAATCCTGGACAATCGGTAGGCAGGCCAAACAATTTCTGGAGGCCTCGGAGATGTGGTTTTACAGAAGAATGCTTAGAATACCTTGGACAGCCAAAAAGAGCAACCAAGAGGTTTTGAAAGAGGCAGGAGCCCGAAGACAACTTGTCACAGACATCAGAAGGAGACAGTCATCATTTTTCGGCCATGTTACGAGAATAGGGAAAATAGAACATGTTGTGACCACTGGAAAGATATGTGGAAGGAGAGATAGAGGAAGACAACGAGAGAAGATGCTTGACAGTCTTGTTGCATGGTATGGAGGTGTGTCGGCACACGAACTGATACATGCCGCAGGAGATCGCAGATTATGGAGAGGCATGATCGCCCACGCCAGTCGGCAAGGCACCTGATGATGATGATACACACACACACACACACGCATGCATGCACACACACATACACATATATATGATGTTTGTATTGCGGTACTCAACAGAACACAGTACTGGCACCTTTGCTTAGGCATCAATTTTTTAGTGCTGTAATAGGCACTTTGTGATGAGTACCAGCAAATTTTTTTTTTTAGGCATCATTTTTTTTCAGTACCACTGTAATATGCACTTTGTAACTGTGAAGTGAGTACCGGCACCTTCTTTGCTTAAAAAAATCCCTATATATGCATATAATCATCATTATAATTTTAAAAAATATGGATTGATGATGTTAAAGATATTATACATCCATACAGAATAAGTGCTATCCATCAAGCACTGGACCAAACTGTTACTCTCCCTGTTTAATAACAAAACTGGAAGTTGATGATGATGATTATAATCAACACCATCAAGTGGCTAAGGACTAGCTAACTGAAATGGATGATCATGTCTTTCCACATCTTGCATCTCTAACATGCATCAATTTGTGTGCTGCAATATTTATATGTTATAACAAAGGGTTCTCAAGCAACTTACGTCACCGTCTTCCTTTTTTTTTTCTCCTTAAAATCATAAAATGTTTTGAAAGGTAAGAGGATCAACTTTATTCCATACTTCCTGGCACCTCTCTTCTGTGTGTGTGCATGCATATGTGTGCATGTGTGTGTGGGGGGTGGGGGGGTGGCTGGCAGCCGGCCAAAAGCATAAATCAAAGCACATACTTTGTAGCTACAGTGACTATCCTAGCTATCTATTTGAAAGATTGCAACTGTACGTAAACTTTACTGGTGCTCTTGTCAAAATATGTTCCAGTCTGTCTCTACTCATAATGCTCGTGCTCATAGTGTGGCCAACTAATTTATGCTGTTCCTTTCCCACATAAGGTGTTCCATGTATGTGTGTTTTTCTTTTACCTGTAGTGTAGGTCACTGTTTATGTTGTGTTAATTTAGCTAATACTGACAGTATGGTATCCCAATTTTCGGGCCGCATTAGCACAGTCAATAAGAGGCTCGGTTTCAAATCCAGCTGCGACTAGCTGCAGCCATGGTCGGTGTTCGAAACCGGCTGGTTCCCGGGTTCACCCAGCCTCTAGGAAATGGGTATTAGAGTTGATACACTGGGGTAAATTGAGGAACGTCGCTGTAGCTACAGTTATGTGCGGACGACGACACAGGTGGATAATTCTTATCAGCGGTCCGTCTGGTAGCAGAGCACTTATGGTTTTTAACCGCGTACAATGACGCTGGTTCACATCTCCCGACTTTACCTTTTTTTTTTTAACGCTAACATTAAAAACTAAACAAGCATTTTTAATGAACAAATACAGTGCATGCCCTGACAATAAGAATCATCAATTACCTAATTTTCTGTGGCAGAACCAGCCATTCTTTGTGACGATCAAATGCAATTAAAATGGAAGCAATTTCCTGTAGATAATACAGAAGACAGATAGAATTACCATGCAGACAAATGTTCATAAATTTAATCCATTTTTATTTATAATGTCTGCAGTAAAACAACAAGTTTAACATTATAGAGTGAATTTTCGTCACTGAAACAAATCAAATGGTTTAGCCATATAACAAGACTGGCATCAGACAGGGCACCACAGAAAGCAATGTTATACAGAAACAGCGGTAACAGAGCCAGAGGTCTACCACGTAGAATATGGACCTCATAAATATCAGAGATACTGACAAATACTTTATATAAAGCGAACGGAACGACCCGTTCCAGAGATCTCTTCCTGTCCTGACACCATGAGGCATTCCAGAGAGGAGAAAAGAAGAAGAAAAAAACTGTTTCGATACTGTATGTATCCATATGGTTCTTCCGAGACTCATATTTTTATAGACTAACTGACATTTGCCTGTCACCAAAAAAAAATAACAATAAAAAATTGAGAAATTAAAAATATCACAAACTGTGAATATCTAGGCTCCCTAAACAGCAATGGACATAAACATTGGCCTCTTTTGACTTTTTGACTCTGAATCCTTTGTACGCTTAACATGCCTCTTTAAGACCCGGCCTTGAAGCTGATATTCATGGTGAGATCCCAGAGTAAAATCCTCCTCTGGGATCCACCAGGCCGGACCACACGTCCGCCTTCCTGGACTTCTTGACCGCAACTCCTCGAGCTCGATCTCCTAACAACTGTATGTAACCCTTATGACGTCTTATTTGCCTAGTCAATACTGGTGTGTTTTAATGCGCTATCTGCACGTCACAACATCCAAAAAGATCTGATCAGGAAGATGGGCTTGTAATTAGCATCTTGTCTTTGAAAATGAAATATTTTGCCCGTATCAAGTGCCACAGCAGATTGGGAAAAAATTAACATCAGAAGGCATGGTACCAGAACAGAAAGTCAGGGGCCAACCAGCACGAAGATTAGTACAAGATATAAGTGAAATCATGAGTAGGAAAGAGGATTACTACACTGAACAACAGCTGGTTCTCTTGTACTTTCCTATATACCCTATAGGTGCTCCAGATAGTTCTCTAGTACAATCATACCTCGTTGGTAATCCATATAGTACTCTAGTACAATCATACCTCGTTGGAGTTCCACCTAGTTCTCTAGTAAAAAGATACACTGTTGGTGTTTCAGCTAGTTCTCTAGTTCAGTCATACCTCATTCGTGTTCCAACGGTGTCTGACACTAACAAATTCCTCAAGCGGGTTGATCTTCTGCAACTGCTCGGGAAGCTGTATGTTTGGGCTGCTACCTGATAACACAAAACAGTTCATCAAATGAAAAACCTAGACATGCTTCCCCCCCCCCCCACCCCCACCCCACCCTCAAACCACACACACCCCCACCCCCCATTTTTGTTTCCTCACCCAGAAAATGTAACGCTGCGCCTGCTACAGTACAGATAGACAATATGAACTGAAAGCGCAAACACCGCAAATTAAATACTCTCCAATGTGAACAAATACTGAGGAAATCAATACAAGCACATCATAACAACTATATCCAACAATTTTTAAATATGTTTTCAAATATGCCACTTTTAGCATTGATCACGTATTGTCAAGGGTAGCACAGATATGACTTTTTTTTTTTAAACAAAAATCCTGAAAAACTAACATACACAAAATTGCAATATGCAATACACAGAGGAATACTTATAGAGGAATATCTTTACTAAGTCATGTGGGGAAAATGTATGCAAAGATCTTAGAAGGTAGGATAAGAGCAAAGGTTGAACCTCTACTGAGTAAAGCACAATTCGGTTTCAGGAAAGGGCGAGGTTGCACTGATGCCATATTTGCACTAAGACAAGTCTGTGAAAAGACACTCGAATACGATAAAGAGCTGAACGTGGTCTTTGTAGATCAAGAGAAGGCATTCGACCGTGTGGACAGAGATGTGCTGTGGAGAATTCTTGACGATTACGGAGTGCAGGGTCAATTATTAGACAACATCAGAGCCCTCTATGAAAAAAGTGAAAGTGCAGTAAGAACATCTAGTGGTCTTTCTGAATGGTTCAAAGTCACAACTGGTGTCAGACAAGGATGTGTACTGTCACCATTACTTTTCATAACATACATGGATAAGATCATTGTAGAAGCAAACCCAGACGTGTATGCTATAAACGAATTACTTTTTGCTGATGATCAAAGCATACTGTATCAAAATGAATATGATCTACAGGAACATCTGACTACTCTCAACAACAGCTGTTTACAACATAATATGAGAATCAGTACAGAAAAAACAGAAGTTATGAAGATCAGCAGAACACACAGGCCACTGAATATAAATGTTGGAAGTGCCAAAATCAAGCAAACCAAAGAGTTCAAATACTTGGGCAGTATATTTACAGAGGATGGAAGAATGGACAGAGAGATAGAAACAAGAATACAGAAAGCAAATGCTGTCACATACCAACTATCACCTCTGCTTAAACATCCAGAAATAACCATGAAGACCAAAAGACAATTGATAAACACCATCTTCATTCCAACACTCTGCTACCAGTGCCAGACATGGACAATCAACAAGACCCATGAAAGAAAAATAGAAGCCTGTGAAATGAAATGTCTAAGAAAAGCAGCGAATAAGACCAGACTAGACAGGATAAAGAACATAGACATTAGAAACACTGTCAAAACTACACCATGTTTAGACTACATAGAACATCAAAGAATGAAATGGTTTGGACATCTAACCAGGATGAAAAATGACCAAATAACATCACAAATTTTCAACCAAAGAAGCTCAGGATATAAGGCAAGAGGAAGACCAAGGAAACGGTGGATTGACGGGGTCTCCGAAACCTGCCAAAAGCATGGCCTCAGAACATCAGATGCTGCCCGCCTTGCTTATGACAGGAACTTGCATCTCCCCACAACGCTTAGCGGCATACGTGGAAGGAAAAAGTAAAGTAAGTAATACACAGAGACTGACAGAGTGGCAAACTTAGAATATTTAGCTTAGCGTTCAATTAAAGGGTTGTAAGGAGCAAAAACATGGAAAACAACTAGAACATTTACTAATAATAGAGATGCTAGTAAAGTTTTATATATTGGGTTAATATTTTACTAAACTATCATAGCTGGATGAAGATTAAAATATCCAAAAGAATGATACCTCAATGAAGCCTGCAGGTTAATTCTAAGAAGAGATATTAATATTTTAATTGCAGATACCACCCTAGAAAAATTATAGTGGACACTGACAAAAGATGGATTTTAAAAAATGAAGGGTTGAAATGACTAAATGTTTGAATTTTATGGTAATACTATAGACAACATTACAGATATAGATAATTTATTTCAAGCGAACGAAAGAAGAAGAAAGTAATAACTATTCTGTTTCTTAATCAATCACTTAGCAACTATATATCATTGCAATTGAGGGAGTGAGGCCTATCTGTATATACATATCTCAAATACATATGATGTATCTGGGCCTGATTCACCTATAAAAAAAGCCGCCAGCTCACTACTTTTAAAGTATATTTTTAATAAGTTTATTTATTAGTAAGTTTATTTATATTGTTTTAAGTAATCATGTGATGGGTTGATGATTTAAAAAATTGTTAAGTGCAAACAAATATCCACTTAGCAGTTCTTGGTTTTACCCTACACGGCTCGATCTGACTCTACACAATGGCTAGTCACCTCTTGAGAATAATGGCCAGCCACCTTTGAGAACAATGTCCAGCCACCAATTGAGAACAATGCATAACCTCTATAGCTCTAGCAATGATTTCCAGAGAGCCTACAACTTTTGGACCATGAGGAAAATGGCTTAACAATGTAGCCATTGTGTGTTCTGCTTTTACTCTATAGTAGTTTTAACCTGATTGTAAATAGGTTAATAGAGCACTGTGTTAAGTGTGTTAAACATTTTTTATGCTATTTAACTTATAGTAATCAGAATTTATTCACCATATAAATGTCTGTATTCAAAATTTAATACACATTGCCACTGTTCACGCCTAAGGATTAGCTGCTCTTTGTGGGCGAGTGTGTGCTATTTGTATGTTGTTTATTTATTACTGTTGTAGATTTAAAAAATATAACTCATATAACAGTAGTATTTTAGTGTGCATTTAAACATAATTACTAAAAATGCTGAGCCAATGTGCCCAGATGGATAAAATTCTGGAACAAAGGCTAGAGGTGATCATGTAAAAAATATCTCCAACAGAAAATTCTAGCAACTTTAAACAATGACTGATGCTTGAAAAGTGCTAAATTGGTTGTGGATTTTAAAAAAAAGTAAATCACATAACATTACTAATTGAGTAAGCATTTTAAGTTAATTACAAAAAAATTCAGAAAACGGGTCTTTTTATTTCTTTAATTATGTTGGCTCCAGTGCAAGGATATTCTAGTCATATTATCAGGGGCTGTTTTTTCTTTCACTCTACAGTGTCAAGGTCTTTTCAGCACATTTTCACTTAAATGTGTTTAGGGCTCTCTCTCTCTCAAAGCAATTAGTGATTCTGCCATACCTTTTAATTACCTCTAATTTGTGCAGGTACCAGTTAATGAATGTCCATAGCTTACTAGTAAAGTGTTTTAGTATTTCTTTAGGTTTCTTTGGGTAGAATGGGTTACAATAACAATTACTTCAGTTCAAATAAATTACAATAACAACTACTTATGTATAGCAAGTATTTTAGCAGAGTACATTAAAATAACATCTGCTCTGAGTAGAATTAGTTAAATTAAAAACTGAGAGGCAGAAGAAGTTAAAGTAATAACAGATTTGGGTAGAACAATGTTATAGTAACAAATGTTTGAAAAGAGAGAATGTCTTACCATCCGTTTCATCGACAGGCTCTGGGATCTCATCCTGATGCTCCATTTTTGAGTATGGTGAAGCTTCATTTAGCTCTTCCATGATACCTCTGCCCAGGTACAGTGGTAGCTATTTCCGCATGTCTAGATACATCTGACGTTTATGCATGGTAGCACTGCACCTCTCCTGTAGATATTCGTAATATAAAACACATTCACAAAGTAAACACACAAATCACTTAATAATGGCATCCGTCAGTCCCAGGGGACTATGGAGATGTGCCGCTGGCTTTGGGAACAGCATCTGCTGTGACAAATCACTTAGTCCACTGTTAAACTGTACACCTCAATATGGAAGTCTTAGATTAACCAAGTTCCCCTTGAGGCTTTCAGGCCCCATCTGAGGGAAAAGTTTAGAACTACTGCCTCTTAACTCTTTGAATCCCAAAGAACCCATCATACGTTCATATTTTTCTAAACAGAAGCCCAATAAAATGCAAGATGTGTTGATTTTATGTTTCTCTTTTCTACTCCTTGGCCTGTGATGCTAAACCCACTAGGACTCAAAGAGTTAATAAGGATGCTGTAAAAGGTGACTAGGGATTTGCTAAAGTTCATTTTTTTTTAAAAACATTGAAATAAGACAAATGAAATGTCTACAACATATCCTAAATGTAACTAGAAGAGACAGGGTCAGAAATGTCGTTATCAGGAAAAAAGGTGGAACGGAACTAATAATAAAGTACATCAGGAAACAACAGATATAATGGTTGGGACACATGTCAAGTCTACTACCAGACAGTGCACCATAGTGAGCAGTGTCACTTAGACATTATGGAACCAGAGGTGGACCATGCAAGTGAAGGATAGATGGAATATCCGAGGCTGTAAATACCAGCATCTAAGTAGCACATAACAAGGCTCACACCCGATGCCTTTTCAAAAGCTGATGCTGAGTGACAGAAAAGGAACAGAGAAGAAAAGGGAGAAGAAGAAGAAGAAGAAGAAGAAGAAGAAGAAGCTGAAATTGAAAATATGTTAGGCCTAAAGGTACAGATACTGCAGCTTAGCTTTTGTAAACTACAACACAATGTGCTCACAGTTCTTTTAAAGGTGAACACACACAATTTTTTTTTCAAATGTCTATTCTGTATGATAAATTAACTGGATAGCACAATCCTTATTACTCAAAGATCTGCTGTCCAGTAGACTATGTGATTTAGAAGAATTTGCCTCACCTGCAGAATCATCATTAATTTGTGTGTGTAGCCATTTCATTTACAGAGGTTGTGGGGTGACTGGGTATGAACAGATAGTTGTTGAATATATATAGAGAAACAGTAAAATATTGTAGCCAAATTAAAATGTGTACCAGTCTTATAAAACCATATAGTTTAACAAAGTTTTCTTCAACCTTTTTACGTAGGATCAATATTTTGCAGACATGCTGGTAGTTAAGACAGGAAAAAAGTGCAGATATATATAATACCTAAATACAGCAGTAGAGTGCAAAGGCAATAACTCTTTGAGTCCCAAGGAACGCATGATACGTTCAAAGGTTAATGTATGAGAAGCCCAATAAACGCATGAGGCGCCGATTATACGTCTCTCTTGACTACCCCTTGGAACTGTGATGCTAAACCCTCTGGGACTCAAAGAGTTAAACAGGCATCTGAGCTCACATATCTAGGAACAACATTTACTCAAGATTGGAAGTGGATGAAGAAATTAACATCAGATGCAGTAAAACAAATCAAGTATTGGGGCAGCTAGCCTCCCCCCCCCCCCCCCCCCCACCCCACTTCCACCCCTTTTTTTAAGAGCATAAGACAATCCTGTTCATTATAAACGTTTCATATAAAGCACTGACTGCACAGGACAGAATGAAATGGAGGAATAGATGCAAGCCCTAAGTGACATATAATGGCACAATATGATAATGAATGAATATTGATTCCCATTCTACGCTACCAGTACCTGACTCAGTCTGTCACAACAAACAGTCAAAGAAAATTAGTAACCACAGAAATGAGATGTCTGAGAAGGGCTGCAGGACTGACCAGAAGAATGAGCAATGAGTTCATAAGAGAAAAAGTCAGCAAAGAGCCAAATCTAAATTACATACAAAGACAGCAAATCAAATGGTTTTCCCACTCAGAGAGAATGCCTTGTGATGCTATAATATACAAGGCATACACCAAAAGAGAAAAAGGACATAGAGCACAAGACAGACCAAGAACAAATTGGAAAGATAACATCACAGAAACTTTACAACAGCATGATGTGTCTATAGTCAAGGCAGCAAGGAAAGCAAGAAGAAGAGCTTTAACTCTCTCTCAACACCTGAAGCAGTAAAAGGGGAAGCAAAGAATAAAAAGAAAAAAAAATATGCCGTCTCTAGAATGAAGGTTGGCTGCAGTGCACCCATTGCTTCTTTAGGAATATTTTGTGATGAGGTCCTAATCTCTGCCACAGTGTGACTCTCTTACCACTGTATGAAAGCCACAAGAAGTCTTTTTTTTTTTACCGGACAGGGAAATTGAACTTTGATACTTCCAGGATTTGGCAGTGAAACAATTTCACTAGCCTCTAAGCTACAATATACTCTGAGAACTCAATGAACACTATATCCCAATTATAACCTTGATGGCTTTACGTAACATTTTTGTGAAAACAACAATTACTACTCCAGCACTATGGCTGCTGCAGCAACCACCACTACCCTACCACTACGACGACTACCACTGTCTACTACAGCTAATAATGTCAGGAATGTGCCTTTGAAATTTGCACTGCCATCATGGAATCCGTATAATACATAAGTTCGTCTTTTCCGTGATCCATGCTTTACAAAGTAAAACTAAAAGTCACTACTAATAATACTATGGCCATATCAATCGGCATATCCGTTTGCATTCCTTATACGATAATAAACAGTTCACAATGCAGCCAATGAACTAGTTAACGCTAATTGTTCATTTTTCTTAGATTATAAATACCCCACATTGTACGACACAGGATTTATGATCCTAAACAATCTTTGAACTAAACTTGATAAATCCAAATATTAGCAGACGAGACGACGGGCGACATAGGTAGTATAAAGTAACCGACATAAAAATCTACAATTCCAACATGCATTACATCAATTCTAACTTTAAAAACCATGAATCCCACTCAGCCTAAAATGATGAAGTAGGTACAAGTCCATGTCACACAAAGAAATAAAGATAAAGCATATATATTTTCTGCAGTGACTGAATGTTTATATATATTACCTCTTTCTGTCTCAATCGATTATGGCCTTGTAGCCTGAGTGCGCATGTGCAACCGGAAGTCGCTTCAATGTCAATCCAAATATCTGCTGCATAAAATACTATAGATACAGCTTTGTCGGGAAATGGCACAGGAAGCAAAGGCACCCTAGGATGTTGACCAATCACCTGTCGAGTGCCGAGTAGTCTGTTTAAAAACCAAATGGATCTAGTATCATGTAACCTATAAGCTTATGGTGTGAAAATGTTACATACTTCAAACAAAGTATCGGTTGCATAGAAAAGCATACAATGCATTGTTGGTTTCGCCTGACAAGAATGGATTAAGCACTTCGCAATTGGCTCCCCTAACCTCAGTCTTTGTGCCAGGTCATGCAGGTGTTTAAGGAAGCGAGCGTGCAGATTTTATTTCAGACACTGAGATTGCTATGGCTAGTCCGGTACTGAACATAAGCGATTTTTTAAATGCCATGCACAGCACTAACCGTGACGACGAGTACGTAAAAGGGCATGACTCCATATCCCTATATAGGCTGATGGACATGGGGGTGCAGTCTAGAGTGCATTAAATTAACATTTCACCAAGCAGACAAGACGTTTCATTAATCAGTACAGAACAGGCGTCATCAGTTGCTTTACATCCTATCTCCCACCCCATTAAACTGTCACGTGTCCTGTGTATTCCCCCTGTTTTGGGTAGGATATTATTATTAAGAAAGCACAAAATAACGTTTCTTAAGAGATAGATGAACATCATAAACATATTATATTCAGTAAATGTAGACAATCAACATTTACTGGACGAAGTATGGGTAGAAATCAGTTCAAAAAATTGTTGATAATCGCAAACTTGATGTGGAAATAGTACTGAGATCGGGTAATCAGACCATTGCAGTTCCAACATCCCAATTAACCGGTCACCCCATAGTAACTCAGTTATTGTGGGGGGGGGGGGGGGTCATAAAAATGTACACCACAGGTCCTTATAAAAATTTGACACTGACTGCCGTCTCGCCGAAGCCAACATCATACAAACGCTTGATATGCATAAGGCAGCCATAAGAAGTATCTACAAAATCAGCCCGGAGCTCTAACTTCAGGTTATTATCGGCGTGAGCAGCAATTACGACAAATCAATAGTTATGTACACAAATAATCCGCATAAGGCACGATCAGCTTTGTGGCAACTGGCCACTCGCTATTTTCTGAACTTGCAATTTACATCACAAACCGCCGCAGTCAAAAAATCATTGCAAGTGGAATCCGCAACTCACAGTGTCGCACCATGTGCTCGTCTCAGTGGCTGGGCGACGCAGCTAAATACTTTCAATCCATATATAAGTGAAAACGTGCCGACCAACCGTAGCCAGAAGCAAATAACTTGCAACGAGTTTTAAAAAAAAAAACAGTAAGGCAAAGCGACAAAGAAGACAAAGCGACGAATACCAGGGTGACTTCAACCGGGATTCTGGTGTCGTGGAAGATCAAAAACTCCGACTGCCTATGCTTATCGAAAAGCCACATTTATCCCAGATTTACGGTATCTATCATGGAATCAAGGCCGACGGGTTGCGATATCCATTGTACCAAGCCAAAGGGTTAACAACTCATGGTTTCTGGATATTTTTTTTTTAAATCGAAATAAAACATAATGCTGATGTGTCTGTTATGATTATCAGTGAATGGCAGATAGTTAACGGGTAATTCTTAATGGTGCCAGTGGGGTTGTTTTTTTCATTTCAGAATAACGTTGAGACTAACTACACTATAAGCTTAGGGCGCAACAATTGCAAACAAATTAAAGTAAACACTTTGAGAATATGCCTGT